TAAACATATGTCCTAAATTTATGGTAATTTTAAAGATCACACAAATATGCACCATATTGTCAAAATTATGTTTACTTCAAAGTTAGTAATCATGCTTGACAAAATATATGTTCAATATTTGTATGAATTGAAACAATACTACAAAATGCAAGAAAATATTTGCTTACAAATGAACCAAGATACAGAAAAAATATTTGCAGGGATAAAATTTTTTAAAGATTTGTATGTCAAATCCAAAATGGACAATGGGGCTTGAGAATTATTAGGGCCAAGCTGAAATGGACTTAATGAGTAGTTTCCATAAATGACTATCTCCAAACATGAAGCGAAGTGATTGCCTAGATTTTTAATTTTCTTGTGTTAACTGTTTGGATAATGTAGATTCCTGTCTGTATTCAATACTTAAATATGCAAAATAATCCTTTTTTAAGTTGACCATTTCACGAAATAGGTTCCAATAATCTATGTACTATGGTATATTTGAGAAATCGATTTTACATGAAGTTTTTGTGGGAAGTAGGTGTAATTTTGCAACTGAAATTGTCTTGGAAGATAAGTCATAACTTCTCATTTAAAGAGAAGAATTATGAAGGTCCTTTTAGATATAGGACTGACATACATAAGTGGACTCATCATGAGTTCCTGCAAAATTCAGTGGCAGAAAGTGACACTTTAGACTTCAGTAATGATTTCTTCAGTAATGATTTCTCTATTTCTTAGTATTTTCTATGTGATAATTGTTGCTAATGGATGCAGTATTTATACATACTTCCTAGAGTAAATAATACAGTTTCTTGAACACTTTGTTATCATAAGTTTGTTCAAGTTATCTAGATTTCATGTAATCATAATTTGTGCAAAAGCATTCTCCAAAATGTGTTACTGTTCGAATGCATTATGTTTAAAATGCAATAGTAATAGGTACATTTATCTAGTTATGGGACAATGTTGAATTTTTTCAAATTTAAAACACCAGCTGGAAATACTTCAGATAATTACAGGAATGTCTGTAGTATGTTTTACTCATCTGTTTTTTGTTCTTCTTTTCAAACACAAACTCTACCTAATACTATAAATACTTCCTTCAGTTTATTTTGACCTTTGATTTTTTTAGTTCATATAAAAATCAGTAAAAACTTCAGTTAAATGAGCATGTGAGCACTCTATAATGCTTCTTCATAATTGAATGGAATGCTAGGTTGTTTTCCATGGTGATGCTAAGGATAGTGATGATTAAATGTCCCAGCTATTCTTTAGCGATGATGTATCCAAGGTGCTCTGCCAGAATTTACTGTGAATTATCTCGTATAAGCAGTGGAGAAGTTATCCTAAACACATACATTTGAAATTTACACATTCATTCAAATCATTTGTAAAGCAATGTGAGTATTTGGCTCTAGTAAAATTTCCTAGGCAAGCGTACTGTAGTATTGAGAGAAATTCAGATATTAGAGTCACTTGGAGAGGATATGCAATTGATCTGTGCATCCCCACCACATATCATCAATATTTTATTTTTGTAGGGAAGAATGAGAACATGACAAAGACAGTATGTGAAAACAAAGAGAACGAGACCTAGGAGGAAATAAAATGTAGATACTGAACAAGTTCACTGATACACCTTATTTCTTGTGAATTTTCCTCCAGTAAATGCCCATGATGAATTCCTGTTTTATTGACTTTGGTTTATATAAGTTTTATTTAACTGGGTAGTTTAAAACATAATGCTGTTGTATCAGCATTGTCAACAATAAATATTAGCTAGATTTATGTCAACTTCACCCCAAGTCTAAATTATTGGCAAGGCATCAGAGGAATTCATTTTATCATCTGTAAATTGTTAATGATTCTGTTATTCATATGGTTATTGGTCAAAATTTAAGGTGATATCATCCTGGTAGGGGTTTATACATGATCAGATTCTTCAGAGTTGGGGTAATCAAGGCAAGTTGATTTATCAAGCACAGCCTTTTACAAGTTTATGATGTTTATTTTAACTTACCATGACGTTTTCCTCATATTTTTTTACTTTTATTTTTCCTGTAAGGGCAATTAATGTTGATACTCTAACATATATTTTTAGGAAAATCAAGACAGGTGACATCTTTTTGAAGAGTCTGTAAATGGATTATTTACTACTATTTCAGTGGAGTTATCCATATAAATTATAGTAACCTATTTGTAGTTTATTACAGATGCAAAACTATTGTGTTAACTTTAGTGTTTAATATACATATTCAATAGCTAAGCTTGCTTTTCGATAAGGAGTAACATTTCTTGAAATGATGTCACATGAGAGCTGTCACCTAGAAATAGATCAAGAAATCATTCAAAAGATGCTTAATAGGCAGCTAAGAAACATAGTGCCATAGAACATATATTTTACATCATTATTTCTCTTCTTAATGAAAATAATACTCATTGACTTATGAAAATATTATTATTGACAGATATTTTGAAAATATAAATGATGGAAGGAATTGCAATTTTTATTTTATTCAAGTTTTCAAATACTCTAGTTCAAATATGCCAGTCATATAAAATTATAACTGTATAACACTCTAAGATCAGTATATAAGGAATCTAAACATCAGTGCATAGAAAATCTAGCTCTCCTGGTATATATGTATATATATATGTATATATATAAGATTATATATATGTATATATATAAGATTATATATATATGTACATATATACATATATATATATATATATAATTTTTTAAATCGATTGTGGGGCTTCAACTCTGGGCCTGGGTGTTGTCTTTCAATTCTTCAGCTCAAGGCGAGTACTCTACCACTTGAGCCACAGAACCACTTTCTCCTAGTATTTTTTTAACCTGGAGATTCTCAGTAGCCACATGGAGTTAGAAACCCATTTGAACCAAACAAACTAAGCATCCTGCATTTACTTACAATTTGTTTCTAGATTCACATATGGAATGCTTTGAGTCCTCTTCCTTTATTAACTGTAGACTATTAGTTAATAAGAATTTAATATTTATTTAAATCATGCCTAAATATTTACTTGGTATTAGACAGGATAAAACAAATATTTCATAGCCTCAATGCTCAAGCCTTTTTCTATTATTTTAAACAATAACTGTATCTCCTAATGGGGACTCTCACTCTACACAAACTTCTGATATTAAACTCCTGTAGATGGATATCTACTAATATTTTAAGTATTTTAATTTATTTATTTATTATTTAATTTGATATTTAGTTTATTTTATTATCTTCAAGTTTCTGTATGAAGATATTTCAAATAAACTTGTCCTTTTATGTGTCCAACAGATTCTGATCAGTGTCACCCCTCCATCACTCTTCTTTTCCCTCATATCTATTCTATTAATGCTATTTTAACTTATGTACTTTGAGAATTACTACTGTATCCAACCATCAGTCCTCTCTCCAATCATCTGTCCCCAATTTCCCTTAATACTCACCCACATTTCAAGTTGTTTTTGTTTCAGTGTCTTTGCTGTATAGTTTCATAGTTTTTAATTGACTCAGTGCAGTTGTGTGTGTGTGTGTGGATAGGTGCACACGTGAGAGTGTTTTCTGTGCATTTTCACTATGTTTCTGTCTTTTCTTTAGCTTTTCTCACTGTGATGAGTTATGTTTCCAGGCCGCACGAAAGTATGGCATCCCTTTCAGGTCAGAGAAGGCTGAGCTTTCTACAGATCTCTTCTCCCTCAAGGAGAACATTACAATTAATACCCACGTTGAAGATATAGTAGGCTTTGTTCTTTCTAGCACTTAAAGACTGATTCAGTCCATTGACAGATATTGTGTCACAAGGCATGCACTTTTGCATTGTGGTTGTCCCTCTATTCTCTTCTCTATATTCACTTAATTTATAACGTATTTATTTGTTTCTTTTTTAGAAATTATGCTTTTATTATATTTATGTAGCTGTATAAGAATTTTCATTCAGCCTAGAGTATTATAAGTATAACACAACTAGATTGAAATCACCCTTTCATTATTTTCCCCATCCATCCCAAACCAACCACAATGTATATGATATGGTTGCATTCTCCCGCTTCCTCTCTTCATCTGTCTATCCCTTTCCCCTTACTTTCTCTCTATACCCTTTAAGTGCCAGTTTTCTGCATTTGTTTGGAATATTAGTTTTTCTAAAGAATCATACAACTTGAAAATTCTCCTGCAAAAACCATAATTATTACAATGTTAATTATATTCTATATATATTTCAAAATGCAAATAATTCTAAGTATGGAAAAGAAAAAAAAGGAAAGTAAGAAACTTTGTAATGTAAAGTCATGTGCAATGTTCTGTAAGCTTGAGCGAAAGGAAAAACATACATACCCGTTTTGAATAATGAATGCGGGGTATAGATGTTCATGCGAAGTTTCTGTTTAGAGTATTCTGAATGTGAGTGAAAATACTTTGTATAGTTAACACTTGATAAGAATTAGAGATATTTTGAAGACATGAACAAAATCGAACATCTGATTATAAAATACTTTGTTTCTGCATTTATTTGTAAGAAATTCTCAAGAAAGATACTGTTTTTGAACTTAAACAGAATGTCTATTTCAATTTCAGAATAAGTGATACGACTGAATAGAAAAGAATAGCCAAAGCAAGAGAATGATAAAAATATACCCAATAATAGGTATATATTTAAGAAACTTATAAAAGCCCTATGCATAAAGCATGATATACCATGTTTAAGACACATGATTTTTAAGGAAGTAATATGTTTATACTGAAATACACCCAATAAAATTAATATATCCATTTTATACACTTGTAAATTTCTGTGAATTACTTGTCTAACTTGAGTTTGTTTCTTGAAGTTTATACATGAGATACAAAATTAAGTTTCAGTTTTCAACAGACTTATTTTTTAGAGCTGTCATACTTTATGAAGAAATCACAGTATGATTAATGTGTTCAAATCATTCAATGTTTTATTTCTAATTTTCTGTATTATGTGCTTCTAGGAAAAAAGTTAATGAACAGCCTATGGAAAAGTACAATCAAACTTCAACAGATTTCATCTTAATAGGACTATTCCCCCCATCAAGGATTGGCCTTTTCCTATTGATACTTATTGTTCTTGTCTTCCTAACTGCTTTGGTTGGCAACCTCTCCATGATTCTCCTCATCCTCCTAGATAGCCACCTCCACATTCCCATGTATTTCTTACTTAGCCAGCTCTCCCTCATGGACCTGACTTACATCTCCACTACTGTCCCCAAGATGGTTTCAAATTTCATGTTGGGTCAGAAGTCTATCTCCTTTGCTGAGTGTGGCATTCAGATCTTCCTCTTTCTGACTTTAGCTGGTGCTGAAGCATTGCTACTGGCTTTTATGGCCTATGACCGTTATGTGGCTATTTGCTTTCCTCTCCACTACCCCATTCGTATGAACAAAAGAGTGTGTGTGCTCATGATATCGGGATCCTGGGTACTGGGCTCTGTGAACTCCTGTGCTCACACTGGGTATGCGCTCAATATCCCTTTTTGCAGATCAAGGGCTATCAATCACTTTTTCTGTGATGTCCCTGCCATGTTGACTCTGGCCTGCATGGACACCTCACTCTATGAATACACGGTATTTTTGAGCACCACCTTTTTTCTCATGCTTCCATTTACTGGTATCATGTATTCCTACGGTCGGGTTCTCCTTGCTGTTTACCGCATGCACTCCGGGGCAGGGAGGAAGAAGGCCTACTTCACCTGCAGCACCCACCTCACTGTGGTGACTTTCTACTACGCACCCTTTGCATATACTTACCTACGTCCCAAATCCCTCCGATCTCCAGCGGAGGACAAGTTTGTGGCTGTATTCTACATCATCCTTACCCCAATGCTCAACCCCATCATCTACAGCCTGAGAAACAAAGAAGTAATGGGGGCACTGAGAAGAGTGACTCAGAGAATTTGCTCTTTAAGCCGGTAGAAGCATTTTTCCATCTGAGTCTCCAGAACTCTTTTGTAAGTTTACTCAATAGTGGATAGTAACAATAATATTGTTTAATGTTATTGTTTAAGTTTCCAAGGCAATCTACATAACAAAAAATACTCAGATGTAGACCAAATTGCCTTACAAATGTTCACACTCACACACACACACACACATATAGGTACATACACATGCACACACAGAGACATACATTCATGTATATGAACATCTGTAGTACAAAAGCATAACATTTTGTAGTATATTTTTCAATAGTTAAAATGCAAATATTATGTGCAAATTTGTTGTCTAAGGGGCAGACTTTTTTAGTCTTGTTGAAATGAGATTGGAAATAGTCTAACTGGAGTTGGCATTCAATATAATAAATATATTTATATCTTACATATGATTTATTTATTATCAAATGAAAAATTTGTAATTTTTATCATGTGGAAGAGAAAAAAACCATAGTTCATGAACAGATAGACCTAATCAGAAGGCATAGATTTGTTATTTTCTTAAGTAGACAGCATACAACCCTGCACCAGTTATCTTTTCTTCAGTGTAGAACTTATAAATGAAATTAAAAGGGAGCTCATTAGAGACCCTGAAGTCTTTAAATGACTCTGGATGACTCATACAGGAGTTTGAACTTTAGATACTAGATACAGATTTCAGATGAGGTTTTATTTTCTTCTTCTTTATACATACACTGAAACCCGCTAGGGAAAGTTGACGCCTATAAAGCAATTATATTCATCGAGGCTACAGCTTAGTCACCAATATAACTGGTTGTTCATGGAAGCTATAAAACAAGAGCAACAACAAAATCAATCACACACACACACACACACAAACAGATGGCTAGTGGGATGATGATTTTGAAAAAAGGGTAACACAGAGTTGCAATAGCTATGTGTATCTGGCCAAATAAAATAATATATGTCAAAATGAACTACAAGAAATGGAAACAGAGGGTTTTTTTGTTGCTGTTTTTACTTTCTTTTTCTTGCTTGTTCATTTATCTGTCTTTGAGAGAGTAAGAAGGGACATAGAAATGATGGGACCCAGTATAAACAAATACATCGGTGATACTCTCTAGACATTATGTTGAAAATTAAGTATATATAGCTATGTGTGGAAAAAGGAAAGAAAAATTGGAGTGACAGCAAGGAAGGTGGTGGCAATGTTAGAAAAGAAATGTACTATTTATCTGATATGTAACTGTAACCCCTCTGCATAGTGCCTTTACAATAACAATAAAAAGACATTAATATTAAAAAAATAAAAAAGTCTCGATAATGGAGTGCATGCCATGCTACCTAGTATGCACTGGAGATGTATAGCAAATTTTCCTGGTTCGGGAACTCCCTGAGCTTTTTCAGATGAGAGTGAATGTAGTGTCTAGAGGTGTAAAATAATGTTGTCACTAAGTTGATGGATTGGGTGATATAGTGAGTACATTCTAAGACTGTTTTAATGTGAATTTATGGCTGCAAAACCTAGTTAATCAAATAAATATTATAGATTTTTGCACAATATGATTAAATCTCTTCAGCAATAGAAAGTTTTGTTAGGTATTGTGAGCATAGAATTTCACCCCATGTAAGGCCATATTTGTATTTTCATTTGCAGCCGAAACTCTCCAAATGTCTTTTATAACCTATATTGTTCAGCTACTTGGTAATATTCTTCTCTTCCTTTAAGCAAATAAATTTTGTGTGTGTATGTGTGTGGGTGGGGGGGGGGTCGTGGGGCTTGAACTCTGGCCTGGGAGCTATCCCTCAGCTCTTCAGCTCAAGGCTAGCACTCTACCACTTGAGCTACAGCACCACTTCTGTTTTTTTCTGGTGGTTTATTGGAGATAAGCATCTCATAGAGTTTCCTGCATGGGTTGGCTTTGAACTCTGATCCTCAGATCTCAGCCTCCTGAGTAACTAGGATTACAGGTGTGATCCACTGGCACCTGGCAAGTAAATAATTTTTTTTTTTGGTCCAGTCGTGGGGCCTGAACTCTGGGCCTGGGCGCTGTCTCTCAACTCTTCAGCTCAAGGCTAGCGCTCTACCACTTGAGCCACATCGCCACTTCCGGCTTTTTTCTTTCTGCTTATGTGGTGCTGAGGAATCGAACCCAGGGCCTCGAGAATGCAAGGCAAGCACTCTACCACTGAGCCACCTTCCCAGCCCGCAAGTAAATAATTTTAAATGCAAATATCTATGTAAATTATTTACTATCAAAGAACTGGAAGTGGAGCTAAAGAAAAGGGATGTGAAGGTGCAGGCAATTATTGGAATAATAAACCATTTCAAGATACTTAAATGAGATTTAGAACATATTAAAATCCATTTACACACAGAGCAGGCAATGGGTTATAAATGATTATCTTAGACATATCAAAGAAGTCTAAAGTAGATCACAACAACCTAAAGAGAGACCAGAGTTAAGTTTTTTTTTTCCTTAGCAGATCTAGGCTTAAAACAAACACAAAGAAAAATCATAGTAAAGCTTCTTCCAGCATCTACTACTCTTTAAACTGCCCTAATTATGCATAATTACTAAAGCAAAGTGCCATAGTTTAGAGTGAATGTCCCTCTATCCCATTAGTTCCATTCTAAACAGTAGGATATGATCTCATTCTACAGCCACAGTGAGAAGTGTGCCTTTATTAGTTGTCTTCAGATTGAGTACATTAGTCATCAAATTATCAATGTGTTGTCTTGTTATCACACTAAGTACAGTCACATTTTAATGCTTGCTCATATAAACCTGCAATTTTAATCAATAATAGAAAAAGAATGAAAAAGCTGAAAACATGATCATGCCAAAATAATTCATGAAGTTCTTCCTTTAATGGAAAAGGTGAAAATGTCAGAGCAGTGAATGATAGGAAACAATCAACAGCTATTTGCAAGTAATCTTTTTGCAGCTAATTTTTGTAATTGTACTAAATTGTATACTTTCATCATAACATATGAATCTACACAAAAAAGCCTTCAAGAGGGCTTGCTACTATTGTTTTTTTTAATTTTAATTTTAATTTTTTGTGAACATACTGTACAGAGGGGTTACAATTACATGGGCAAGATAATGAGTACATTTCTTATCAAGCATTGCAGACTTGCTAATATTCTATCTGCGATTTTTGGCATCTTCTATATATTTTGAAATGTATACCCAGTTGACAGAGTAAGAATGTTCCATTATAAATTGAGCATGTGTAGAATTGTTTACTAGTCCAGGACACAGGACACTGTGTCTCCCATGCTCTTTGCATGCTATCTCATGTGATATACTGTTGGTATTTCAAGTTGTAGCTGAAACTTTTTAATTTCTATTTGCTGAGATAACAACCATTCAGTGATGTTCTTCCCTGCTTTTAAGTATAAATAACTTCTGAAAGAGTTTGTAAATTATTTTATTAATTTAAAAGTTAACATGAATGTAATCAATTCTTCTGTACTGTGACAGATGATTGCATCTCAGTATTGTTATTGAGATCAGAAAAGCCCTGACACACAGAATGATAGAGCATTATGACATGAAATGGGAGTTGAGGATCAGTTCCAGGCTTCAAATACTACCTAGATGGCCTGCTAAAGAGAAGAACATTCCATCTCTCATTAACACAAGATGATCGTTGTGCTTGTTACTTTTGTACCCATTATCCTTATTTTACATGCCACAGATCTATTTTACCTGCCTCATATTCATATGTTAAATATTTTATTGAGATGATTGTGCTTATTTATATTACAATCTAATATTTTAATTCAAGTATACACGCTCCAATCATGGAATTGTGCTATTGCCTCAAACTTTTATACTTCCTTAGATTAAATACATCAAAAAGTTTCTATTACATCTATCTTGATATTCTAATCATTATTTTAAACTATATTTACCCTATGGTGTCATAGCTCATCAGACCTTATTACTTTTCTCTGAATGTAACATTGGTCATTAACAATCTCTGTGATCTCGTTACCTTTGTCTCACTATAATCTCTTCTTCTAAGTGAAAGCCATTTGATTTCTACCTCCAAATAATTCCAGTTCTTACTGGTTTTATTTAAGAAATTCCCTTCAAGTGCATTCATAATGTCATAAATGATAGAAAATCATTCTATTTTTATGGCTGTATGTAATATCACTGCTTATAAACATCACATTTTCTTCATTGATCCTCCCATTCATAGATATTTAGGTTGAATCCATAGCCTGACTTTGGTGTCAGACACTGCAAATACCTGAGAATGTTACTGTCTTTGAGAATTATGAATTCATTTCCTTAGTTTTTGACCCCTCTAGCTAGTGATAGAGGTCATCTCTATTTTGTAAATAATATTTGAGTACACATTCTATTTTCTAATGGCTTTCTTAACCTGCACACTCACAAATAATGGACAAAAGAATTTCTTTCCTCCCATAACATTGAATTTAAAAGTATTGTATTTTGCATAATAGTTCTTTTAATTGGTTAGAGTTGTATCTGTTGGTTTTGATGTGACTATATATACGACATTTCATGTTCATTATTTCTGTATTCTAACTATGCAATATATACACAGTTTGAAAGGCTCAATGAAAGTGAAATCTAGGAGCATACTAATAAGTACATGTCAATTGAGTTGTAATAATATGCTAATATAAACAGAAATGTAATCAAAATCTTAAATAGGTGCCTCGTATGTAGGGTATGATGCATTATAATAAAATAGCAATGAGTATTGTTCATCTTCATTTTGTTATTTTGAATTAAATATAAGAATCAAAATTAATATATATTCATCATACAATATTGTAATTTTCTTTTAAGTGTGTCACTAATGCTTTTAGGTTAAACATGTGATTCACAGCCCATTTCTATTGGATTACAGTGGTATGTGATGTCTTAGGATGAAGAAGAGAATTAATTGAAGTGTAAGAACCGAATTACAATTTTTTAACGGGAGAGACCATCCAAAGCACTTTTTGTTGTTTGCTTTTTTACTTGACACATAGACTGACCAGGTAACATGTCCATCAATGAAATCTGAATCCCACCTCGCCCTACTCATGAATCTTGGAATTGCAAGCCTGTCATAACACAGGCAGCTTTCCAAGTACTCTTTTCATGGCTCCCAGGACTTCCTTATTTCTCAGGCTGTAGATGATGGGGTTAAGCAGAGGGGTGAGGATGGTGTAAAATACAGCCAGAATCTTGTCTCCTGTGGGGGACCGGAAATTCCTGGGTCGAAGATATGTGTAGATAAAAGGCACATAGTAAAATGTCACCACAGTTAAATGTGTAGAACAGGTGGTGAAGGCCTTTTTTCTTCCTTCTTTAGAATGCATATGAAAGACAGCCAAAAGGACCCGTCCATAGGAAGCAGTGATACCAAGGAAGGGAAACAGAAGAAACAGGATTGTGCTCACAAACACAATATATTCATAGAGCCAAGTGTCCATACAGGCCAGAGGCAAAATTGCTGAGATGTCACAGAAAAAATGCTTGATGGCCCTCGATCTGCAATAAGGCATATGAAGGGCATAGACTGTGTGTGCCAAGGAGTTGATGGAGCCCAGTATCCAAGATCCTGTGATCATCTTCACACACATCCTTTTACTCATGCGAATGGAATAGTGGAGTGGGTGGCAGATGGCCACAAACCGATCATAGGCCATTGAAGCCAGGAGTAAGCCTTCAGAACATGCCATGGTTGAAAAGAACAACATTTGGATTCCACATGCCAGAAAGGAGATGCTTTTCTCACCTGAGAGGAAGTTGAATGCCATCTTGGGGATAGTGGTAGAGATATATATTAGATCTGTGAGGGAAAGCTGGCTGAGGAGAAAGTACATGGGGGTGTGGAGCCGAACATCCACACATATGAGATAGATCATGGTTGAGTTTCCAAAGAAGGCCAGAAAGAACACAACCATGATTAGGAGCAAGAGAAGTAGTCCAGTTTGATTTGGAGGCAGCAACCCCAATAGAATAAAATCACTTGAAGTTTGATTCCATTTCTCCATGAAAATATATTCCTTGTAGCTTCCTTAATGAAACCTGAAAACAAAACTTAATGTGTAACCATCAAATGAAGCATAACAGATGAATTAAAGACTGCATTTTTGTAGTTTAATTTGAATATTTTCTTTTTCTTCCATCAATGTTCTTTTGCTGAATCCAAATCCCTCTCCAGTTTACTGGTACCAATCAACTATGTTAGAAATGTGCATATGGTCTTTAAGTATAGTGTCATTGGCAGCAAATGTAATGCACCTATCCTGGATAACTCCTGCCCAAGCCCATTAGTCAAAGTTAATAATAAATCTTATTACCTGAGGAAATTCAGGATTTCAGAAACAAAATCCATGTAATAGAACACCTTTGCAATAGAAGCTAACACTTTGACTTAGAAGCATTCTACATGGTTAATTGTGAAGTTTACACTCATCTCTCAGCCTTGTTTATGTCTATATTTATTTATCCTTCCTCTTCAATTGCCACTACTCCAGATAGTTAAGCAGGAACCTCGTCTTTTTGTTTTACCTCTCATGTTCTTTTATGTCATGTCTATGCCTTTCCTTAAAATGTGTCTACCTTTCAAAGTCAGTCACAGAACTGTTGAAGTATTTTTTGTCTCATAATGTCTATCCAAATTGTTATTAGTTAATTGAATATTTTCTATTCCCTAATGAGATTTATATTTTCTAAAGATACAAAAATTTCAAAATCAAATGTGCACACTTTTTTCATGTAAGTAGGTTATATATTTCAGTCAAATGTTGCATAATATTCGTTTCTTATTTTTAGTTGCAAACTAATAAAATAATTTGCAACTGCAGAAAAGAAAATGATATTGAAATACAATGTGCCTTGTATATTGTCACAAACATACTTTTTATACCTATAGACTTTAAGTTTCATACTTAATAAAACTATTTTCATATTACTTCATTTCTTAATATTTCACATGAACTGAAAGTTCATGTGAAAGATAAGTTTCCTGTGAAGAATTTGGATAGGATCACATTTTGAGAATATGAGGATGCTGAAAATGTCTAGTCACTTCCTGATCCAACAATTTGAAATGATTTGGCAATGAATCATGTATGTTAGGACCATTTTCAATTCAATTTATGTAACTACCAACCCTTTCCAGAGGCTTATGCCTGATGCTACACTTTGAACAAGGTTAGAGCTTGTGGCTACAAAAGAGGATATGGCTTTCTTCTTGTTCTGCTTCCTGTGGATGGGTCCTCTTTGTCATCTTCCAAATACATCCCAATTAAGGAAAAAAAAAGGCTTTCACCACTGTCAACACATTTAGCAGTACTGCAGTTTAACTAAAGCCTTGCTCATGCTTGCTAGGAAAATGTTATAGCAGTTGAGCAACACTACCAGCCCAAACATTCTGGATTCATAGGTCATTTGTTTTACTTTATCCTCTTCATATTTAATCAAGTAAGGTAAGGCAAAATAAAGTAGTGATCATTTGAGGTAACAAAACAAATGTGAAGCTAATTTAAAAATCTCTCTTCCTGAATCACATTTTCTTCTTTTCCATTATGCATTTTCTTTATCATACGATAATTTGTAAGTAATCTTTTCCTCAGTGACATGTTTTATCTGTTTTTAACCTATTCTTCTAAATATGTGTTATTGTGAGTGTGATTTCTTATATTTTCAGTACATGTTTTCTGAGTTCTCTTGTCTTGTCTCTGAGTAGTATTTCCTGCTATGCATATGTATTCTCTTATAAATGAGGGAAGCATGTGTGCCACAGCCTTCCAAAGAGATCACTGACTTGAGACAGTCTAATCAATGAATAATTTTTTAATAGCCAAGAACAGAATCAGTATCTTGTTGCCCTTGTTGATAGGGAGCAAGCAAAATTAACTTATTTTCTATAATTTTGAAGAGTGAATACAAATTTGAATATTTATAGAAAAATACAGTTTCTGACACCTGTTATTCCAATTTATTATGTTTTATACAGGTGTATAAAACAACAAATCATGACACATAATCTAATGTTGTGTGGTAGGGCTTTATTATATATATATGTATATACATATAATATAGTATTTATATATTACAGACATAATAAACTACATATACAATATGCTGTATTTTATAATATATACTGTATATAATATATGTAGTATATATAGTACATATACTATATGAATATGTGCTATATATGGTATATATATTATGTGTATTATATACACTGCATAGGTTACACATAGCATTTATACTATTTATAGTATATATTATATTATAAGTAATTATATGTTTATTTTATATAATATATAAATATATATTTATATAGAAGATATAGATGTAAAATTTATATTATTATATTGTATTTTATATTTTACATTATATATTAAAACACTGCTACATAGCATATATGTATGTATATATGCAATATATAAGAGAGATAAATAGCCTGATGAGTGATGAAGAAGGAGGTATATAGGTATCTTCCAGTAGCCCTTATACGTAAGTTGTATTATACTTGATAATAAATATCATACTTACAGTAAGTGGCTTAGAAACTACCCTGAATATAAAGCTTCTTTAGTTTAAGAACATTGCTTCTGAGGACAAGATGTAGAGACATTTTTGTAGTAAGAATCCGGACCTCAATTGTTATCTTTCCTAGATAAGACATCAAGGAGAGAGTTTCAGGTATTGAACTCACCCAGATTCTTCAAGTGAGGAAACAGCTGTGAATAGGTGCACACCTTGAGGAGGGCTAGTTAAGACAAGTAAGAACAGCTAATAAGTATACTGGCCATGCAAATCAAAGTCATTCTTCCTGAGGAAGCCGGGCACATCAGGACAGCTGGCACTTTAGTTAGGAATAAGATAATGCCTAATGACTCATTTGATATGTTTCTTATTCCTAATACCTTTTACATAATATATTTCAACCCTTCTACCCCTTGAAATGTATAAAGTATTAGCTGTAGAGGCATGGTGGCAGCTAATATAGAGGTTGAGGCAAAAGGATTATAAGTTCCAGACTAATATAGGCAAATTTAACTAGGTTCCATCTCTAAAACAAAATAAAAATGCAAGGGCCAAACACAGAGATCAAACAGTAGATCACTGAATTCAATCCCCCTCTACAACTTACAGTTGTGAATCTGTGTCAATGCTGTTCATGTGGACATAAATGATGGGATCATTTAAAAACTCAATTCTCATTATGCATGCCCTGGAAATGATGAAACAGGAACTTCTTTGTGTAATTATTACATTCCTTTGTTTGATCCAAGTTTCAATTGAGAGGAAGATGTATTCTTGCCAAGAGATGGTTTTCTAGAGCAAGCCCTGGACCACAGAGTCTGCTTTAACTGCACATATTCCATAACTCACTCGTGTTGAAAAAATTACATTCTTGCATTTAGCTACATTGTTGTTCAGATTAGATTACCAACGAAACACAAAATGGATTGATAATATATATTGCAATAACTATTTTGTTTCCTACAGGGAAAGTTCTCTGGTATGGAGGCAATGAAAGACAATAGTTCCTTTCTGTGTGCTATGAAGATTTTTAATATATTTTTATTGTAAAGATACTGTACAGAGGGGTCGCAGTTACATGAGTAAGGCAATGAATACATTTCCTATAGAGCGTTGTTACCTTCTCCTTGATTTTTCCCCTACCATGTCTTCCTTCCCCACCTCCCCAACTTTCTCCCTCCCAACCCCTGAAGCAGTGAAGTTTGCTTTCAACATAGTGTCTTGTACATATCATTGTTACTATGAAGATTTTGAGTCTTCTGCTAGAGGTGAGGATCTGTTTCCTTAGTGAGCAGCAGTTTTGCTTTCTTTTTCTGATATGAACTTTCTTTAATGTACCAAAGTTATAGAAGTACCATTCTATTGGTTACATCATATTTGAGGGACTTTATTCCTATAACTTCAGAGTGCATCTAAGGGTATTATCTAACTTGTTCTTTCTAAAAGGAATATTTTTTAGTCTAATTGAGATTATATAAATGTAGAAAACTGAAGACCGCTTATGTATTTACAAAATTAACAAGTAATATAAACTTTTATATAGTATGATAGTACAAAAACAATAAACATTTTTTGGAGTCTCAGCTAACTCAATGTTAATAAACTCATGGAAAGTTTGAAACCAAAAATTGGGGACCTCTCTTGTCTGCAATTAGCATATAGCCGAAATGCAAGAAGTGTCAGTCACCTTTGCCCAGTCCTGCTCTTAACCATTGAGTGATAGCAGTTTCAAGGAAATTCAGACTCTTAATTAAGACTAAAGCTTTCAAAAGCAACATGCTGTAGAAATCTACTAAGTCCACACCATCTGTTTTTTGTCCACTTTAGCTTTTCCAATTCATTATGAAATTTTGGGTTTCCTCCTGACAAGAAACCATACCTACAGAATAGTGTCCTTATTTAAGCTAACTGAGACCATCTCAGCTCAGTAATTTCATGCGAACTCACCTTGCTTGAAGTTCTTCAGTTTTAATTTTAAGTGAGGATGTAGTTTTATTATGATACCATTCCCTGTAGAAAAATCTGTTGAAGATTTAATAGGTTTAAACACCAAGATGTGTTCACATCATCTGAATAGAGGCAATGAAATCATGTCACTGATCAACACAAATTTGTAGTCTAATAAATTTTTGTATCAAAATAAATGTATCTTCTGAGGCTGGACTTGGTGGCACTTATCTAATCTCATCTAATTGGATAATACAGACAGCAGGAATTTGCTCAAAAGTAAGACCTAACACTAAGTTATTGATACTTTATCTCAACCAACGAACAGAGGTTGGTCCCGTACTTCTATAATCCCAGTTATAAGAGAGTTAGAGGTAGGAGGATTTACAGATAAATTCTAAAAATTTAGGCCAGTATTGGCAATAAGAAACTACAAAAATAAAGTAAAATAATTAATGGCTAGGCTCAAGTTGTAGAACAATCCCCTAATTAATTCAAACCCCAATTTAAACTCCCAACCCCAATAAAACAAAAACATTAA